AACTTATTGTCTTGAGGGTTGAGCATGGTGGCTCACACATGTAATCCTAGTACTCCACTCAGAAATCGGTGGATCTCTGTAAGTTCGAGGCCAACCTAGTCTACATAGTGAAATCCTGTCTCAAAAAAACAAATAATAAAACACAAAAACAGCTTTGTCCCTCATTTTCTACTGCCAGCTATATTTACTGAGTTTTGGCTTCTAACCTGAGCCATTAAATAAAAGACAGTAATGCTGATTAGTATCCAGCAGAGTGAGCAGGCACAGAGAATAGGGACTCATTTTTTCGCATCTTATACCTGGAGTTTCTATGAGAAGCATCTGGGTATGTGATTATTGGTTGAATGAAGCAGGGAGGGAAGAGGGGATAGAGAGAATGAGAGAGAAGGAGGGAGGGAGAGGAAAGGGAAGGGAAAGGGAGAGGCAGAAGTGAGAAAGAAAGAGAGACAGACAGAAACAGAGAGAGACAGAGGCAGGGATAGAGACAGAGACAGACAGAGATATGGAGAAGAGAGAAAAGAGAAAGAGGGGGATGGATGAATAGATAGATAGATAGATAGATAGATAGATAGATAGATAGATAGATAGAAAGAAAGAAAGATAGATAGATAGATAGATAGAAAGAAAGATAGATATCACTCAGGCTGGCTGCCACTGTTTTTCAATGGTGTTTCTCCATGGTCAATGGCTCTCCACATTTAAGTCCAGGCCATGGAGTAGACATTCCCTCCAAGACCTACTCCCCGGAGCATCCCTGTCACACCCCTGTCACACCCCTGTCACACCCGTCACATCCCTCTTCTGTTACTTTCTATTTCAATCAGCAAAAATGAACGTGTTTTTGTTGTTGTTTTGTTTGGTTCTTTTTTTGGTAGACAATTCTTCATCAAGGAGACACTACCATAACAGGGGTGGGGGTCCCTCACATCTGTCCATCTGATCTTCTGATGCTCTGATGAAAGGGGTGGAGCTTCTGGCAGAACCAGTCTGCAGAGGAGGCAGCACCATTAAATACATCCAGCTGCTCAGTATACACTGTCTACAAATACTGAAAGAATGTATTTTTATTCTCAAGTACAGCTTCTCCCCAAGTCAGATTTTGAAAGTCAGCAGTCAGTGTAACCTGCTTATGGCTTCTGAAAGCTCAAAGACTTTCTTGGAGCTCAAGTTGGCACAGAAACCTTGAGGGTGGAGAGCATTTGGGTAAAACTATTGACTTAAAATATAAAAAGCAGATATTCAGACTTGGTGGAATGTCTGTATAATTTGGGGGTAAGGCTTAGATTAATGGCTGAAAGATTTTTTTCCCAACAACATCCAAAATCTCCTTTAACATCAGATTTACTTTTTAGAAACGCATTATTGAATATTGCATTATTAATATTAAAAGCATTATCAATATTATCAACATTAAGATGCCAACAGGAACGTTGGGGGCTAGCAGTGTGGTTCATCAGGCCAAGTGCTGGCCTAGTGTGCATGGGGCTCTGGGTCCAGCCCATACCACATTATTCCCTCAGGAGGATTAGAAGCTCAAGGTTATCCTTGGCTACATAGTGAGATGAAAGCCAGTTTACAGGAGACCCTGTCTCAAAACAACAACAAACACCTACTAAAACAAACATAATAAAGGCCAAGGAGTCACACATCTACAGCAAACCACTGTTGAGTTTTATTCTGTTCCAAGCGTGTGTGTGTGTCTCTTTGGGTGAATACATGTCTGTGTATGTTGTAGGTATGTTCATGGGAGTATATGCATATGTGTATGTATACATGTATACAAAGAACAGAGGCCAAGGGTGGGTATCTTTCTCCATTGCTGTCAACTTATTTTGGGTGGACAAGGTCCCTTACTCAACCTGAAACCCACTAATTCAGCTGGACTGGCTCTCCATCAGTTCCCTAGGACCAGCTCTTGCCTATTCTGCTCAGGTCCTAGAGCAGCAAACCTGCACTGCTGTGCCCTGCTGTGCCCTGCTGTGCCCTGCTGTGCCCTGCTGTGCCCTGCTGTGCCCTGCTTTTATTTATTGACCGGGGTCACAATTGAGGTCCTCATGCCTATGAAGTTGCTACCTTATTGACTGAATCCCAACCCTCTTCTAGGGATCTTGATCCAAGTTAGCTATCTCAGGAGGAGATTAGGGGTAGCTTTATTCATGCCTCGTTAAAAATCAGGCAAATTCACTGCAGTGAGCACAGGATATCCAACAAGGACACTGTCAGGGGCCAAAATCCCACATCCACAATTTTGATACACGACAGGACTTCTACCTGCAGTGTTTTCTTATTTTACATATTCTTAGTGTAGCTTTTTAAGATACAAACTCATCTTCTCCTGGTTATGAAAGGTACAGGTATCAAAGGCAAGGCAGAAAAAGTCCATCTCCATCAATCCCACCCCAAGGAGAAGAGACTCCATGGCTCTTGCAGGCACACTTATGAGATCACAGCTGCTCAACAGCAGGACTCAGGCTGCAAAAGTGGTTTTACAATCAGTGTGAGTCTCAAACTGGCACACACAGCGGTAAGGATGTTTCTCTTACTAAGTGGTAACAACGTTTCTCTTCCTACATGTGCGCCTCCCTGCTGTGAAGGGTGAGGCAGCTCTGCAAACAGCCGCAAGGGCCCAGGGCATCACACACTAACGAAAAACAGAACCACTGAGAGCATCGCACATCTGTGCCAGCGCTAATATAGAAATTTACATACTGACTCTGTCAATGGAGAAATACATATTATATGTATATTTTTAAAATATGCATATTTTAAGTGTAAAAGGAATCGCAAAAAAATAGGTAAGAGCTGTCTTAAAAGCGGCAGTGGGACAACAGTGGAGAGAAGTGACACAGATCCTTCACTGTGACTGTTCACACTTTATAATTCAAATGCCATCATCTCAGCTAAGTGAAGAATAATGCTATGTATTATTATAAGATGAGGATAGACATCAAGTGTACCTGTGTTTGTCCCTAGAGAAAGGAGAGAAAAAAAACCAAATGTGTCTCAGGAAACTGGAAATTACATATACCTAGGATGTGTTCATTCTCTTAAAATCACAATATAACAAGTATTAACATTTATTAATGATGTGTATATGAGTGGTGTAATAGTCAGTGTACAATTTTCAAATTAAATTTTGCTCAAATCACAGACCTTGAAATAAAGAATATCTCACAGAGTCTGCCACATTCTCATCCTGATTGCTAACATTAAAGCAAAGACATCATTGAACCCTAGGGCAGATGTGGAACACCTGGCATGTTAACACAAGGTGAGCAAAACGATGCAGCCACTTTGGGAAATTGTCTGTGAGTTTCTTATAAAACCACTGAGTATTACCTTAGGAGGCTGAGGATGTTAGCTTAAGAAAAACGAGCATATGTTCATGGAAAGACTTGTACAACATGTTCACAGCACTTTTATTAATGAGGTAGAAAAAGCCCAGATGTCTACCAATAAAATACTATGTAAGCAGACTGGCATATCTGTACAATGAAATCCTTCTCAGAAATAGAAAGAAAGGCCGCTGATCCATGAAACTCGCTGTGTTGGGAGAGAAAACCATACTTGCACAGTGGTTCTGTAACCTTAGCCATAGGAGATGAGAAATTCACATCTGTCATAGAAAAGGTCTGAACAGTAGATACCAAAGAAGGGAGGTGGTGTGGAGGGTGAGAATGGCTGAGGGGCAGGAGGTGGTGTGAAGGGTGGGAATGGCTGAGGGGCAGGAGGTGGTGTGGAGGGTGGGAAT